AGTTATTCCTGTGCTCCAGAAAACTCCAGAGTCATTCCTGTGCTCTAGAAAACTCCACAGTTATTCTTGTGCTGGGAAGCAACACTCTCAAAACCGCCAGCATGGATGAGGAGGGCGCTGAAGCAGCAGGAGAAGGGAGTTAGTCTGATGTCTGACGAAGCTGCTGTACAGAGGAACGGGAACACAGGAGGATCTTTTCGGAGCGGGAGGCGAAGAAAACAGTTCCACAGTCTGTTGAGGGTGGTGATGGTAGAAGTGCAGGACTCTTTATTTATGTTGTGAAGTCTTTCTTTGTCCCAGTCCCTTCAACCAGGGATACTCTAATAAAGATACTGATGGTGGGGACCTGGCATCCCTGTCTAAGTTTTGTTCTCCAGGAAAATAACGTTGAAACATGATCATTGATTAAATAAGTCGCAATAAACACGCAATGTTTTAATCAAACTCACTCACTCAGTGTTCTCGAGCACTTGAAGGCTGTATCATCCAGCTCCTTGTCCACGGTGCTGTAAATGAGATACATGTTACACAGTAGCATTGCAGTTAGTGCTGCCATGTCACAGCTCTTGTGTCCTGGGCTTGATTCCTGACCAGAGGCCTTGTGTGTGGAGTTTGCACGCTCTCTCCGTATCTAAGAGGGTTGTTTCCAGGTGTCCCAGTGGACACTAAGTAAATAGATGTCTCTAAATTGTCTGGCATCCCTTTCAGGGAGTAGTACTGCTTCCTGTGCCTCTGGGATGTGACTGTAGGACAGCAGACCCTGAACAGGAAGAGGCTTTGTGGCAGTGGAGAGATGACAGTAGGCATGTGCTGATAACTCACAGCAGTGCTGGTGAGGAATATTATCACCAGGGAGCTATGGGTCTCTGACTGCAAAGTGGATCCTGAGCTTTTGAATCACTGACAAATTTCACCTGCGAAAGTTAATACTGTGTCTCTACAAAGAAATCCATTGACACAGTCAGGTCACAGCGCGAGAGAGGTAAAGATATCATCATGGCAGTATGTGAGGGACTGCTGAAGCACCGAATGAGGGTTCAGGACAGCAGCAACAACACAGGCTCCCTTGTTTCAGCATGTTAGTCCAGGAGCTGGAGGACTGCAGGATCATTTGGGACCAGTGTGAAGGCCTGAAGGACAGAAACATTTCTCCATAACTACAGTGCTGTTTCTTTGACCAGACAGAGAGCAATTCAGAAATCAGAGGCTGTTCAGTATTTATCTTTTCCTAAAAAAAGTTCAAGGACGGGTATTTTTGGAACTGGCTGAGGTGCTGTGAGAAACTGGAGTAAATTGATTCATCTTCTGCTGCTGACACCCTGCAGGTCAAGCACAGTGGCTCTCCTGACTCAGGCCACGGACGCACGCTAGATGTAGATGCTGCAGTGCTGTTGCGCTCTGGGAGTCTTATCTTACACCGTCAGTTAAACAGTCGAGTGTGACCCCGCCTGCACTGAGATATGCAAACTCAGGGGGATGTGAGCGGAGGCGAGCCGCGCTGTCCCGGCGAACGTCACGGAAGGAGAGCCGGGGGCTGCTTCCTCAGCTGACGCCGCCTGGCTGTCTGTGAGGGCAAACGGCTCCCCGCGCTGCGGAGGGCTTGAGAGTGGACTGGTATGTGGGACGTGTGGGGCAAACAGAGAGGAATTCCACAAAATTCCACACCTTGGTCCCTCCTCCCGGGAGACACCGGCTTGTGCAGCTGCAGCTCCTGCCTGGCATGCCCCCAGCTGAGCTCTGGCCGCTGTGGAAACTGACTGTCGAGCCAGGAGCTCCCGTGTCTGTGTCAGGCCTGTGTCCGGGCAGAGAGAGGTCCGCTGAAATGAAGGAACTGAGAGCTGACATGGACTTTCAGCAGATCCAGGAATGTTCATTTATTTGAATTTAAGTTTTGTGTTTTATCCTATCAGGTCATGTAGGGAATTGTTTGTTTGGCCCCTGATTTGGAGCCGATTCTGATGTCGACCCACTTACTCAGGGTGTTCCCCAGGGTCTGTACTGGGACCTTCACATGTTGCCTCTTGGCCCTGTTATTCTCCATCACGGACTTCAGTTTCCCTGCTGTGCTACAAACAGAGTCTCAGGTCCGTTTGTAGAGCAAGTCAGACTACTTGCAGTGTGTGCAGGCATGTCTGCTGTTAAGATACAGTATGTGAAATTGTGACCGAGCTGTTCCCTGTGCACAACAAAAACCATGTTTGAGGACATAAAACATCGGAGTTACCCTGCGTGTTTTGAAAGCATGCTAGGAACATCACTAGAGCCTCTTCCACTTTATTACTGACAGCCAGCGCACACAGCCCCTTCCCTAACAATAAAAACAGCCCTCTATTGAACCTGGTCCATCTGTTGAACACTGGAGGAGAGGCTGATTCCTCATTTACAGGATCCGATGTGGGCAGTTTGGGCTCAGAACTTCAGGAGCTTCCAGCTAGAGAACCTTCTGAGAATTCCTCATGGAGAGTCCCAGTCCCAGTGCAGCATCAGGAATGATGTAACCTGCTGTGCTGGACTCTTCCCTGAGTTTCAGGATCTATGAGGTGTTCCGTAATTATGCTGCAGAGATGTCTTGTAGAAGTAAAATAGTTTTTGATACTTTGGAGACTGTTTATTCATTGTTAAAATGCTGTTGGACATGTCTGTCAGATGGAGGAATAGCGGAAGACCCAGGTCTGGCCGCTGCTCCTCTGAGGAAGGAGTGACCAGTGCAGGAATCAGAAGAAACTGCTCAGGATGACTCAGCACCGAAGAGCCCTCCAGCACTGACTCAGCAAACCATGACTCAGCAGCCGCCACCTTGTGCACTCAGGAGAGGCAGATAGTTAATCCTGGAGCAGCTGTGCCTGGCCGAGAGCTATCTGTAAGGTGATAACCAAACCCTAATCCGACAAGAACCAGAACATTAGCTCTGGAACTTTCTCTGTGAACAGACTGGAGATTGAAGGGGTTTATATGTTTGTTTTCAGAAAAAGATCAGTCATTAGGTGCAATGCCTTCTGTGTAGAATGGGGCTTTTGCACGGTCAAAATGCACTAACCCAGAAGATATAAAGTGTAAAAGCAATCCGCTTTCAGATTCACAGGAATAAAATCGCTTCACACCAACACAGTCAGGGCCCAAGCTGGAAGCCAAACAGAAGCAACTCACTGGGAGGTGATCCAACACCTAAACAAAATCCAGTAATGTTTCCTGAATACATCTCACTCATGCGTCACTATAGGTCCGTCTCCAGTTGGAATATAGACAGGAGCTGATCAAGATGACACAAAGGCCTACTCTCTCAGACATAAGGTGAATTTAGAGACACCAGTTAACCCAGACAGCATGTTACTGAGAGATGCAGGGAAACCTGAGCACCTTGAGGAAAGCCACGTATTTATGGAGGAACATGCAAGCTCCGTACAGAGGGTTGTTGCACAAATGAAAGATTTCACTTTCTTCATTGTCACAGTATACAGTATTTCCAGATTGTTAAGTATATCAGATTTAAAAGTTCATTACCAGCTCTTGTTTATTTTTTTTTTACTTTAATCTAATAATTCTTGCTAGTTGAAAATTTTTCCCAATACCTTCTTCCACCGGTTTGAAGTACAATCAGTGAAAGCTAAGGTTGCTGCTGGAAGAGGTGTTAGTGGGGCCAGCAGGGGGCGCTCACCCTGCGGTCCATGTGGGTCCTAATGCCCCAATATAGTGACGGGAACACTATACTGTAAAACAGGCACCATCCTTTGGATGAGATGTACCGTAAACCTGAGGTCCTGACTCTCTGTGGTCATTAAAAATCCCAGGGGGTTTCTTGGAAAGAGTAGGGATGTTACCCCAGTGTCCTGACCAAATGTCCCCCTGGCCTTTACCAGTCATGGCCTCCTACTAATCCCCATCTCTGAGCTGGCTTCATCACTCTGCTCTTCTCCCCACTGAGAGCTGCTGTGTGGGGAGCGGACTGGCGCATCAACCAGGTGGGGCTGCGCACTGGTGGGGGTGGGGGGGGGTCCCCATGACCTGTAAAGCAAGTGCGAGGAATTATTATTGTTACTTATTGCTCGGCTACATTAAAGCTTATTAGATTGAAGCTTGAGCATTGTTTCAGTGCAGTGGTTAAGATTTCAAGGGAATTGATTAATTTCAGATTGGTGGAGTGGTGTTAGTATTTATTCCTGCTGCTCCACCGATACCAAGTCACAAAATGAAACTGCTGTAGAAAAGCCATGAATAAGTGTTTGTACTCCACCTGGTGGTAGTTCTGGGGGACTGCGATCCATATTTCATGATATCCGTGAGCTCCAGAGACTGCCGCCAGGAGTCAGTGAGTTAGCCTGGAACTGAAGACACATTGGTTACAGACACCGTCACAGACAAACGGAACTGGACAGTTAACACAACCTGCAACACCAACCAGGAAAGAATCTGAAGATGAATGAGAAAATGCAAAAAATCCTGAAAGTGATTCATATTTCAATAACTGTATCAACCCTCAATACTTCAGCAGGGACATAGATGGTCATTGCATACCTGTAATATTTGTTCGGCAAAAGACATTATCCAGCCTCAACAAAAAGTCCAATATTCCCTGTAGGTGGGGTGAGATATAACACATTTTAGATAGTCTCATCTATTTCCAGGACAGATCTATATATAGCAATGGCTTAATCTGCAATAGGCCCACAAATCATTTTAGTACTAATCAAAACAACCAAAACAAAAATAGAAACTCCTTTTCAGAG